TTGAAAGAAACGCGCCCAAACAGTGAACACAAAAGGGCGCGGCGGCGAGGACTAAATCAGAACATCAGTTTAAATCAGCAACGCGCTGCGCTGAGCGGGGAAAATGCATGAGATGCATGACGGGGGTGGAGACTCATCCAGAAGTGGAGACAGAAGGGCGCGGCAGCGAACCCAAAGAGAAGCACACAAAAGTGGAATCAAAAGGTCGCGGTCGCGAGAATAAGCGGGAGCATACCGAGGTGGTCCGCGCATGACGTACCTCAGCCGGGCCTCCCAGGAGTCCACGAAAGTGGCGATGGGTGCGCAGATCGCAAGCCCCCCAGGGGGCGGCGAGGTCCTGAGGTGGTCCGCGTATGACGTACCTCCGCTGGGCCTCCCAGGGCGCTGTCTCTTCAAAAGGAGGACGCAACATCACAGGACGGTGAGGAAAGATCTCCGCTCTTCATTATGTGTGTTCCTGGACATTGCGACGCCCCAGTTTGCAGTGCCCTCAGTCCCCTCAATGGTGGACATAACCCCCATGTGGCAAAACACCCTTTCGTGAAAAAGACACGGGACCACACCCAGCGGGAGCAGGCTAGCAAAAATTGCGGCCCCAACGCACTCTCGAGAGTCGAAAAACAGACAATTCGCTGATCGATTCGGCGTGGGTGGGGCTTCTACCAATCTTCGCCCCTCGATTCCCATCCAGCAGGCGGCCTGCGCGTGAGGTGGTCCGCCATGTCCGCGTTCCCGGCCCGCATGCAGGCCTTGATCGCCCGGTTGTAGCAGAGGAGGTCGGGTTCCTCGCCCGCCGCCTCGGCCCGCAGCAGCCAGGCCTTGGCGCCCTCGGCGTCGGCGGCCTCCGCGAACACGTCGATGGCGGTGCTGTACGTGATGACGTCCGGCTCCAGGCCAGCTTCCTTTCAGGCTGGAGTGGTGGATCTGACGCAGACGGGTCCGCGGGGAGAGGCGCAATAGCTCTGGCAGTAGTTGGCGCCTGGCCGCCATAGTTTACGCGATGGCTGCAACAGCTGCGCGTGAATGCTGTTGTGTAGCCTGTGCTCACACTCCATAACTGTCGCCCGTGCCATTGCACACTATTGCACGCAACAGCACACCACTCATGAGCGATTGCACGCCATCGCCGCCAACCCATCTGCGCCAGACCCACTACTCCGGCTGAAACTCCTTCATCGCGTCGACGATGCGCTCCACCGAGTCGGTGTCTCCGGTCGTGGCCGCCGCGGACAGCCAGATGTTGTAGCTGTAGGTGTCGGGCGTCATGCCCTTGTCACTCATCACCTGCAGCCAAGCCTCCACGCCGCTCATGTCCCCCGTCCTGGCGTGGGCGCTCATGACGGCGTGCAGGTGCTCCATGCCAGGCTGGAGGCCAACATCCTCCATGCGAAGCAGCCAGCCCACCGCGGCTTCGGTGTCGCGCGTCTTCGCGCACAGCTTCATGAACAGGAGGTAGCTCACCTCTGCGGCGCGGAATGGTCTGCCTCCCCGCGCCCCTCGAATCTCACGGCGCCGAGGGGGTCAAGGGGGGAGTGGGAGACGGGAAAAGAGAAGATGATGGGGGTCGGGATACCCTTTGTGGGCCACTGGAATAAGAAATATTGTGTGCGCCGCAAGCAGACGTCCAGGTCCACAGCTGCTGGAATCCTGCCTTTGAACCGATGAGATCGGTGGACTTGGAATACTTCTCCACCCCCATGGCCAATAAGACATCCACATCCACCGCTCCTGGAGGGTCCTGGAGGTCCTAGGCCCCGACTCCGAAGCCGCGGATACTGATACGTCATCAACCACAACATAGATGATTCGAGAACGCCCGCGAGCCCGCAAAATATACCATGCAGAGCCTGAGTCACGCGATGGACCCGGAGTCACGCGAGGGCCCCAGAGTCACGCGAGGGCCGATGGATATGGGTACGACCTGGCGTTGGACGGTGGGGATATCAAGGCCACCTAGATGGGGTCCGCGTAGATGGGTTCGGAGGATCGCGCCGCATCCACGCCGTCGGCGTGGAGAAGATTGGGATCCACATCAACCCACATCGGCGAAGAATCGACGATGCGGCGCGATCCTCCGACCCCATCTACTCGGACCCCGTCTGAGAGGCCTAAAGGACGGGGAAACGCTTGGGCCCCTGGAACCCTGTCAGGAGCGACCCTGGCCTCCTCCATCAGGCTCAGCAGGCTCTCCGCCCTGCGTTGCAGACCCCGGCGCGAGCACATCTTGAGCGCCGCGTTGAAAGGCATGGCGTTGAGGTCGGGCAGCTTGGCGTCGCGGATCGCGTACAAAGTCCGTTCCATGCCTGCGGGGGGCGGTCGACACATCCGACGGCCCCACCGCTCCCCCTCCCTGAGCCCTAAGACGAGGCCAGGATTAAGTCGGGCGTGTCTCCGTACAGGGGGATTTTTGGAGGAAAAAATGAAAACACTATATATATATATATATATATATGCACTCAAAACTGGTCAAAAAATCGTCCCGTTACTACTTTTTGACTATTTTTGGATTTTCCCCCTGTAGAGGGACAGGCCCTACTGAACGCTAAGACGAGGCCAGAACTGGGACCGAATCGGACTCGGGTAGATCGGGGGTCCTTGAGATCCGACGGCTCTGGAGGACGTCTCGGGCGGCGCGGCCGGTCTGGGGAGCTCGGGAACGCTCTGACAGCGTTCCAGACATTTTCTCTTCGTCAGCGGCGAGGCGGCGAACTCCGCTCCAGCGAGAAGCTAGAAAGGGGCACTAACTAGCGAATTGGCCGGCGAGCACAAAGGAGGGACGGCCGAGAGGAAGAAGGGACGCTCAGACGCCGAAGAGTTCGACGATGAGCAGCCAGGGGGGCAGCAGCAGCCAGGCGCGCAGGAGAGCGTTCCAGACACGTTCTGGACGATTTGTCGCGGTCCCAGCCCCGCCCGAAGCGGTCCCACCGCCCCCCCCCGTCAAATCCCCGATTCGACCATTCATCCCCGCGAGGGAGGGGGCGCGGGGTACGGGGGGGGGCGCTGCGCGAAAGGCACCCGTGCACCACCGCGGTGCCTGTCCAGGACCGTGCTGTATCCTGGCGTGGTGCATGCGCCTACTGGCCAGGGCCAGGAGGGTTCTATATGCAGCGCATCCTGGGGCCCAGACTGGCCCTGGCCCGGCCCAGTGGTGGCATGGTGTACGGATGCTCCTGCGGAGGGGAGGAGAGGGAGACGAAGGGGGGGGGAGAGGGGGAGGATCTGGGACTGGTGGGATCGGTCGACATCGAATCGAGAGATCTGATCGAGCCGGACTGCGTGTCGGATCGGGCCGCGTCGGCACGGTGCCGAAGTCGGATCGGATCGGCTGCGCTAGGACGCACAGCAGCGCCGTGCAGACGTCGGGCCGCATCGCATCGTCGGGATCTCGGAGTCGCACCGGGTCGGACTCGCCGAAGTCGACACCGCATCGGGCCGATCGGATCGGAATGGACCCTGAATGGGGGGGCGGATCGGTCCGGGACTGGCGCGTGTGGGTCGAGACTGCCCGAGCGCCGTCAAAGTTTTCTGCCTCCGCGTACGCGTTCGCCAGCGCGGTGTAGCTCCGGACGTCCGGGCTGACGCCCCGGCTGCGCATCCTGCGGATCCACTCCTCCGCCTTCATGTACATGCCCCTCCGCCCGAGGCAGCCCAGGAAGGTGTTGTAGCTGACGATGTCGGGCTGGTAGATGCGGTCCAGCATGTCCTTGAGCCAGCTCTCCGCCCCGAGGGGCCTGTTGGCCCTGGCGTGCGCCTTGATCATCAGGTTCCAGAGCATGCGGCCGAGTGGCAGGCGCAGCCTCCTCTTGGACCACATGCCCACCAGCAGCCAGCGCGCCTGGTACCAGTTGCCCTGCTCGGCGTACACCGCCATCATCCGCATCCTCTCCTTCACGGTGACCGTCCCGGAGGCGGCCGGCATGCCGCGGTCGTAGATCTCCTGTCGTGCAGGGACCGTGCGCAGCTCCTTGAACATGTCGAGTTCCTTGGTCATATCCTTGGCCATCGGGTCTACCAAAAAAGTGCCTTCTTCACGCTTTTGTATGGGCTTACCTGTCAGCTCCGACAAGAATTCGTCTACCTCTTCATCCGTCACTTCTGAACCTTCCTCTTCGGCTAATTTTGCGTTGTTGACTGCGCCACCCATTTCAGCACTATCGGGTTCGCTTGCGAGCGCATCAAGGTCGGGCGACTCCAACACGCCTGGCTGCTTCGCGACCGTGGACCCCGCAAAGATGCTCTTCGTGGGGTACAGATCCGCGTCATCGTCGTCGCCGTACGCCTCGCCGAAGCCGTCGTCGAAAATGTCCTCGAAGACCTGCTCCTCCACAGGGCTTAGCGTATACCGGGAAACCTGGCGTGGGCTTTTGCGTGGTATACGCTGCGGCGCCTGATCGGCCGTAGCGCAACATGGAGGGCCGCGGGTGGGGTAAGGCCGCTTACTTTCCTGGCCGAGCTCCTCCTCCCTCGGCTCGTCGCCGAAGCCGCCCGGCAGCTTCGCGCGCGCGGCGCTGCGGTGCCCCGGCCGGGCCGCGCCCCTCGCGGGCGGCGCTCCACGCCACGGGGAGCTCGCCTGCGGCGCAAAGGCGGGCTGCACGGCCCCCCACAGCGCGCAAGCGCAGGCCGCCAGCGCCAGCCGGCCCGCCACCGCGCGCGGCCTCGGCGGCCGGGCCCCGGCAACGGGGCCCCCCAAATCGGGGACGGGCGCCCTGGGGATCCCCCAGGGTGAGAGTCCACGGGGGCGCCCTCCCCCTTCCCTCCGCGCGGCCATCCCTCCCTGGCGCACCGGTGCTCCTCTGAGCCTGTACACGCGAGAGGCGGCCGGTGCAGACTCTTCGGGAGAGGCGCCTGCCGCGTCGCCAGCTCGGCGCCGGCACAGGCCACAGATACGGGCACCGTGCGCTGCAGACCCCGTGCTACCTGCACCCACCACGTGTGCCCATGTCGTTGGAGTACGCACACCCTGCGTAGAAGACTTGCGTCATTGAAGCACGCATGAAGACCGAACACGCGCCCGCACGTAAAATATCGCAACTTGCATGAATGCCCAAGCATACGGTATCAGTGTCAGACATGCGCGAGAACATGTGTATGTGGCCGACACTGTAACACAGTACCCAAGAGAACAGCACTGCGTGTTGCGAAACATCCGCGTTATACGTGCCATGACGTGTGCTATATTTATCGTACGTGCCGTGTGCACGCTTGTGAACCATGTCCTCTGAAATCCTGCCCTGTGTGCCATTTGAGCACATACCACTTGCGTGGGAAGAACTACGATGAGACGTATAGTCGGTCAACCTCGTGTGCCGTGCGTACCGCATGTTCACATATCCAGTCTGAGCCGAACACCCTGCTTACGTCGAACACATGCGTCCATCCGTACAGACGTACACATATGTGTACCTTCGCAAGGGCACCGCCACCATGAGAAGATGGGACCCACTTCCAGGCCAGCTACGCCTTAGATATTGTGTCCGTGCACTCATATTCGTATACTGGAACCGCGCGCGTGCACTGAGCGCGCTCACACTCTACCCTCGGACTTGATGGATTACAAGAGGAGCTCGACCACAAGAATCCTTCCACAAGAAGCCCAACCCTGAGACCCCAGGACGTCCATTGCATTTTAGTGAGGGAACGTCACGCTTTCCATGGCAAAACCATGGAAACCCAAGAACCCCAGGGCACCCTGGAGGCAAGCAGCATGTTTCTTGGCATGGGCTTCCACTGCAAGGATCCAGGCCTCCATCAAGCGTCTGTCCCCTCTACGACTCAGCACTGCTGACGGCCAGAGATGTGTACCCCGCCCGTTTCGTGACTGGATCTGGCTGCGCTGGGGTCACGGCGGGCGATGTCTGAGCCGCCCCAGCGGCGGGAATCCACATGGAAGCCTCTCTGACCTTATAAGAAGCTTTTATGGAGCTTGCCGGAAGCCTCTCGAGTTTCTGGAAACCCTTTCAGACGCTCCAGGAGGGCCTTCCAACCTACGTCATGGCAAAACTCTGCAACTCACGAGGGCATCCTTGGATACTGCTCATCCAGGCCGCTCAGGGCTCGCACGCAGGCCATTACACATTCTCTGGAGTCATTGGCATGCTGCCCTGCGGCCTTCGGAGGTGCCTTCGAGGTGCCAGGAAGCTCCCGGTGGCGCGCTTGCCTCAGGAGGGCCATGTATTTCATGAACGAGCAGCGGATCGGAAAGAAGAAAATATGAAACATGCTCAGTACGCTGGAGGCTGAACTTGGCGACGATGCGGAGTGGCCAATGCAGGCACAGGCCGGCGAGGCTAGACGCGCTCAAGGACTGCGAACACGCTGCGGAAGGACGATGTGGTCGTGAATTTGATGCTCATGGTGACCACGCATTCCTGCACGGACGCGGTCGAGGATGGTACCCATCGCACACAGCCGTGTGCCGGTGCTTGGCCCATTTTGCGCAGGAGGCGAACGTCGACTACAGCTTCGAGGAAGTACGCCCTGCTTTGCAAGGTGCCCCAGGCAGCGCACAGGCTGTCGAGGCGAGGCTCGACTTGCATTCCTGATCATCGAGTCAGCAATGGCTGTGGGAAGCATGGGTGGACGTCACGGTCACGCTTCCTTGACGCGAGGCTTTGCGGCGCAAAGCTGCGCCAGAGGACGTCGCAGCGGCGACGGAGGCCACGCAGAAGAAGCGGCGGCCTTACGGCAATTGTCCAGGGGCGTTGCAGTCCCCGCTCTAGCAGCGGAAGCCTGGGAGAGATCTGGCGATGTGGCCGCGGAGCTGCTCGCCCAGTTGACAGCGGACTGGGCTGGCGGCGCGCGCGCGGGGACTCCTGCGACCGCGGCGACAGAGCGAAGCTGGCGCGCTGAGCTGGGCAACGCGCTGACCCGCACGCAGGCTGCAACGGCGGCGCAAGCATCAGCGCCACTCTGCAGTGCGAACAACGGTAGGAGGCGGACGAGCATAAGTGAGACTTCCAGCGCGACTGAGAGTTCCCATGTTGACTTCCTCATTGACTTTGCCCGTATTGATCCCTAACCCAAAGAGAACGTGCCAAGATTTGTCTGGCTTTTCGGCCGCATTTCGCACCAACGCTGTTCGGACCGTCGCTGCTCCAGCTCGCCACGAGGAAAGCTGCATGGCCTGGCCGAATAGTCGGACTGCAAGCCTCCTCGTGGCGGTCAAAGGTAACTTGATGCTGGCAGGATGTGTCGACGGCCGTCTTTCCCCAGAGGCGGCGGAGGGTATCAAGGCCAAGGAGGTGGAGGGGGCCTCCAGCAGACGCAAGTGTGCCGTGACGGCGGTCCGTAGCAGCCGACCCAGGGAGTGTAGGCCTAGTGCCCTGACTTTAGTCCTCGCCGCATCGGGGGGTGCGGTCACGACTCCTACTGGGAAGGCTGTCATTGGGTGCATTCTGATCGGCACACCTCGTGGACTTGAGTTCCGCGAGCAAGGGAAGGCTTGTGAGGGGTGTCTGGCCTCCCTGGCAGTGCTCCCGAGTACTGCCACGCACAAAATCGCCCTGCGGCGGATGGCTAAGCCACCCGCCAGGAGTGGTCATTTTGACCTTTGCAGCTCTTGTTCCGAAAGCTGCATGGAAAACCCCCACTCTCAGTGGGCATCGACACACGTGGACCTGTCATGGCTTCCGATGCCCAGGCGGACGAGGTAGGCAACCAGCACGGGGGGCTAAGCCCAGCACCGCCGAGAAACATTGATCCACAGGGGCCCGTTTCCGATCGATCCCCGAGCGCGCCCGTTCACAGGGGCCGACCACCGCCCGTCCCCCGCCTGGTAACGTCCCGCTTCGCGCTGGCGCGAACAATGACGCTGACGGCCCCCTCCCCTCAACAGCACACGCACAAAACCAAGAGAACATCACAACACACCACCACACCACCACCACAACAACAACCACACAAAAAAACAACAACAGCATCAGCAGCAGCAACAACAACAAAAAATAACAACAAAACAGCAACAAACATAATAACAACAGCAACAAAACACGCGCTCACTTTTTGGCGTCGAGGCCACGCGCGCGGCGGCGCGGCGTAGGTCAAGTCAAGCGAACGCGCGCGGCCCAGGCCAGCTCACGCAGCCTGGAGAAGCTGGATCGATGCACAAGGGATCTACAGCAACACTCGCGAGGAGGCAGTCGCCAGTCGCGAAAGGAGCGGGGGGGAGGGCAAGCTAGGTTCGCTCGCGCCAAATCTGACAGCCTACCCCGCCCTCCCATCCCTTCCCATTGCGCTGATATTGTTCTATCCGCGGACGCGTGTCGTGGCCATCCTGGCACTCCAACAAAATTGCCCCATCGTGTTATGAGCAACAGGAGAAGTGAGTTCCGCACAACTTAGGAGAAGGAGCTGGCGGGTGAGCAGGAGGATGAGCAGGAGGAATAACAGGATGACGAGGAAGGAGAAGGACGAGGACGAACAGCAGCAGCAGCAGCAGGAACTGGAGTGGAAGGAGCGGGAGAAGCAGGAGGCCCAGGGGAAGGCGGAGGAGCTGAGCAGGAGGACAAGAGATAGGACGAGGAAGAAGGAGGACGAGGGCGAACAGCGGCAGCGGGAGCTGGAGTGGAAGGAGCGGGAAGAGCAGGACGGCCAGGGGAAGGCGGAGGAGGGGAGAGAAAGGGGGGCGACGACGGTGAGGAAGCGCTCGGACCCGGAAAACTGGCACACGCGGGGGCGAGAACGCCACTCGGAGCGACAGGGGCAGAGCGCCGATACGAAAAGGAGGCCCACGCGGGAGCGGGAGCACCAGCTCGAGACACCGAGCACGATCGTATCGAGAATAAGCTAGTACATGCTGCTGTTGCCCAGGTCTGTGACAAGAACTATACGCGGAGAAGGCGGAGCATGTTCTGGACAGTGTCAGACAAGAGAGAACGAAACTGTGCAGAACATGTACTTGTGAAGAGGGCAACATGGGGGGAGAGGAGGGAAACGAGGAAACACACAAACACACAAACAAACAAAGAAAAAACAAACAGCAAAAAAAACATAAATAACAAAAAAAAAAAAAACGAAACTCGAGAGGCGACAACTGCTCAGTGCTGAAGCGGACGCCCATCTGCACCGCCGTCCTTCCCGAGCGAACTGCGAACTGCAGCTACCCACACACCAAGCAAAACGTGCCTCTGTTTGCGTAGTTTCGCCCGGCTGGCCGCGCAGTTCGTGTGTAGAACCTCAACCAAAGTAGAGAGAAGTCCCATACGATGGCCAAATCCAATACGGATAAGATTACCAGTTCTGCCGCTCATACCTCGCTGTGCCTTGACATGCACCGCCACTCTGCGCGCGCCGGCTTCCTGCCACCCGCTTGACGAGCACGCTGCTCTACAGCTCCGCCGAGGTAGGCCTTCGTCTTGCGCTTCATGACAATTCGTCGCGCTGCCCTGTGGACGGCACGGCGGTCAGATTTCTGCTAGGACGCCCTCACCTGAGCGTCAAGACGTACCAAGACGGCCCCGACCGCCCCAATACAGCCCCGCGGGGCCCTACAGGAGCTCCAGACCTTCCCCCATAAAATGACTCGACGCGGAGATACCCACCTCATACTCACGTCGCGGCTCCCTGAGGAACTCTGTCTGTGAACGAATGAGTGTGGGAGCGAATCAGCGTAGACGACGGGGGCGACAACGACGACGGCGACAGCGACGACTCCACTAATGTCCTTCTCCTCTGGCATCTTCCAGGAGAGATGAGGACAGCACAAGTGGAAGAGCGAGGAAGCGCTGCACCATCAAAAGAAAGAACAGAGTGAGCCTGAGCGTGAGTGATCTGAGTGCGAGTGAGTCTGTGTGGCTGAACCTGGATACGGTTGAGTGTGAGTGGGCCTGAGTCTAGGTATGAGAGACTCTGAATACGAGATGATCTTAAAATGCGTAAGTCTGAGTATGACTGAGTCTGACCGACAGTGACATTAAGTGTGGGCAAGTCTGAGTGTGAGTGGGTCTGAGAAGGAGCTGGTGACTACGAGTCTGATTCGGAGCGGGTCTGCGTGCGAGTGAAT